CATGCTATGTTTCGCCCATTAGGGAGAAAGAAAAATTTTTGAATGCGATGGAAATAGGGAAAAAAGAAAAATTGCAACAATTCGTTGATTTTATGGGAAGAATGAAGTTCTTCACGAACTGAAGAATAAAGAAAAAATTCGTGCCAATGTTTAGTGGCACCACAAATTGCAAAAGTTACTTACCAGAGCGGGGTATTAAAAGCTAACGAAAATGGAAAACCCTTAAATCTTTTGTTCTTCTTCAGTTCTATAAAAAAGATCATGAAGATCCTTGTCCCATTTCCTCAATTTCATAGAAACATACCATCATCCCAGTGTCTAACGATTATCCTTCTTCCCCCCCCCATAGCAGATATAAATGTCGTTGAATCCCATAATAAATTAATATCTTTTCCAAAAGGGAAATTTCCTTATTACATGTTATTGTTTAGATATGTACACATGATTTTTCACTGTAAAATTTACAGCCATAAGATGTATTTTGATTGCTTTGCTGAAAAAAAATTACTCCCACCATTTCTTAATACTGTTCATTGTACTAATGAGTGCATGAACAGTATGTCTTAATTATTGACTGGTCTTTTATGGATCAGGTTAACTTTTTAGACTACCTTACTTAATACAACCGAGCGAAAGAAAGAGCATACTGTAATGAAGAATAAATTTTGCTTTACTTTATTAGAATTAGTGAATATATGAAGTAATATAGTACGCAGTATGTTTTATTGTTACTTGTTAATATCGATAATATCTGCCATATTTATCTTATCAGTTAAGTTTCACCGAATTAATGTACGATGCTTAAATATCCTGTTTTATGTAGCATTCGCTATTATCCGTTTCATGTCTGCATTGAAAGAGTTTTCAGAAGACGATATAATTTTACACCACATATATATGTTTAATTTTAACAAGTTGCCTCAGTTATTTAAAACTAGGATTTTTTAGTCTTTGGTTTGATATTAGAAGAAGTACCTTATAATAATTTAGAAGTTATGTATTCTACATTAATATTCTTCATGTCTTACTGATCTGGTTCTTTTTCCCTTTCTATATTTAATTCTGGCATAGGAATTTCTTTTATTAAAAATTCTTAACGTGCATTTTATCTGTAAGTATATTTTTAAGTTTTTCATATGAAATATTGCATACATTTTTATTCGTCCATAACTATAAGGGAAAATATTCATCAATTCAGTCTCCCCTCAATACATGAAGAAGTTGGAGAGAAATTCTATTCATTGAAGGACGAAATTGCGCAATTTACACAATAAATAACATTTCTAAAAAATATTTGAGATATTTGCCTGTAGTGGATGTAAGTATTTAAATGGAACTCTGTATTTTTGGATCTCACATAAAACTGCTGCGTTTTTCTAAATCTTCAATTAATTGAAAGATTTCTAATTCGAACGGTAAATCTGTCATTTCATCTCCTAAATATTTTTCACTTCAACGAGAGCACATTCTAATATATGGGAGGGAAGGGGAAATCTTTTCATTTTCGGAGCTGTTCAGCTTTTTTCAACGACTCTGTTTTCCCAGGAAAGTAAAAATTGCATTTTGAAGAGATACCTAAGTCTCTCCAGTATCGATACCTAATGAATGAATGGGTCCCCCGCCAGATTCTCAGTTTAAACAAGAAAGAGAAAAATTTTGTCCTTTTGGAATGTTAATATTTCTTAATCGGAACTTTTGCTCCCCTTATGTCTGCACAGTCTGCGCCGGGTCTGGCGATGGCCTTGTGTGATATATATAAAAGTATCTGAAGTAAAAAAAAAAAAAAAAAACAATTATTGTAGTTGGATTCAGATGAAACTAATGATTAAGCCGTACATAGGTGCCGTACTGTCACTGTTTCGAATTAAGTAGTTTATATATTTTAAAACATTAGTGTATTTTTAATTTTCCCGAGAATTCGATTTTACTTCACGCTGATGCAGAATTATTAAAATTTCACAGTATGATGTTGCGTGGCTCCAACTTGTCCGCAACAGTAGTAGTGACTGCTATGAACTGTAAATTACACAAACTCGTAATAAGGGTTTAAATCCCTTTTTATTTCACTTTAGAAATCACAGTTGCGTTCACTTGACGCTCACAAACTACGCCGACCCGGCGGTGAAACAAAATAGAAAAATACAACTAAAAATAAATGACAGAATAAATAACTAACGAAATCACTATCTCCGAGGCTCTATAATCGTAACTAACTTAACCACGTTCTAAGATACAGCTGAGATTCAGCAAACTTACTGATTAAGAAGTTGAAAGTTTCAACGAACTGCCGAAATAGGCACACAGGCCGAAACGCGCTGTTCTTAAAATTTCTAGCTAGCAACCTTCACGCTCGCGATTCAAGAAGCACACTTACAAACTCGTTTCCCTTCTATTTAAACTCAATTTACTTCTGCTAAAAATTTGAATGCTCTGCGCGTTCTACTAATTTACATACTCTGGCATTGCCAATTCTAGGGGAAAGTAAAGGCTTGACAGGAAAGATAGCTTAAAATAAATGTTAGTTAAAATAAATATAAACCCTACAACAGAATACAGTTGTTTTTCAGAAATTACTCATATGCGTTATGAGTATTGTTTAAATCAGTGGTCTGAAACTGGCGGCCCGTAAGCCGCATACGGCTCCCAAAGCAATTTTACGTGACATGCAAATATATTTCAATTATGCATTTATTGCAAATATGGTGCTACAATGATTTCAAGATTTTAGTTATTAGATTCTGAGTTTATGTTACTTTAATTACCATTAAAACGAACATGAATAATGCATCAGTAAATTTATAAATGAGGTTAATTAATTTACATTGTGATATAAATCTTATTCAAAGATCTGAAGATACAGACTTAAGCAGCATCTCACAAAACAAATGCGTTCATTTACGAATATTTGCGCTAAGATCAATCGCATTATCTTGGACTAATACATTTGAATGGGAACAGTTTTTCTGTCACATTTGAAACTTGAAAAGAACCCGATTGATCGATAAGCATCTTCAGTCCTTGGTGAACATAATCTAATTTCCAGTAATTTTTCTCCCGTGCAGGGACATTATACAGCGAATAATTATTTATGCACAAATATATGTATTTTAATTTATGCGTCTAAGAAAAATTTAATAAATAAGAGCCACAGTTTAAACATGAAAAGAATCCGATTGATCGACAAGTATCTTCAGTCCTTGGTGAAGATAATTTAATTTCTATCAGTTTTTCTCCAGTGCATGAACATATACAACGAATAATTATTTACGCCCAAATATATGCATTTTAATTTATGCGTCGAAGAAAATTTTAATAAATAAGAGAAAGAGACTAGGCTGTCTGTATTTAATCTCAAGGCCCATTCCACTTGTAAAGTTTTTATAATTTGTTTACTTTAATTTAAATTCGAGTAAGTTATTATAGCTAATTAAATATATTAGAATTATATCAAATAAACGTGCGTCTGAAATATTAGTGTTTAGCTGTCAAAATGTTTGAATTGCAAAGTGTAACGAGGGAAAATGTCTTAAGGCACCAAACTTTAGATTTGAGTTAGAAAATAAATTTAAAAATTTTTCCCATTGCATTACTGTTATTACTATTATTGTTTATGTATTCTGATAAATATATAAGTAAGTGAATTTAAGACGTAGTTAAAATATTTTTTTATTTTATTGATAACAAATTTTCATTTTGCTAAAAGCAAGATTTTGGCCGGTCAGCTGTTTCCAGATCGTGCAGTCGGCCCACGTGCAATTTGAGCTGGAGGCCACTGGCTTAAATGACAATTTAATAAAAATAAATTTTAATTTTTGTTTCAAAGTTATATTTTTTTAGGAATGTATGTGCCAGCTGCTTAATGTTTTCTTAATGTTTCTCAAATTTAATGTCATTAAGAATCAGTTTCCCCCTTAAAAAGCTTTTTATGGAGTCAATTCTCTTAAGACAGCGTTCATACGTAAGTTATCTCGCAGATAATTATGTTCTTAACTGCTTTCCAGATTTGAGTGAGCAACCCAGTTAGTATCATATTATGAAAGGCATTATTGATCTTTCGCAGTATTAATACTGCGAAATTAATACTGTAATTAATCGCATCAGTTAACATATTTCTGAAGTAATTAACATAAGCTCTTTTTATTTAACTTTTTTCGTAAATTAAATGCAGTTTTTTTAAACAAAATGATATTTAGTTACATTTTTATATTTATAATGTAACTAAATGTAATTTTATATCATTTATATTATTTAGTTATTATTATATTTTCTTATAAACATTTCGAAAATATCGGAGTTTAGACGAATTGATAATAAAAAAGAATATTCTGCAAACCCAATTAAGAATAAAAATTGAAAACAGTTATGCAAACTACATCATATTATTTCATCTATCTTGTTATAACTTGCACATCAACTTTATTACAATATATCTAAGCAAACTGAATAATATTAATTCAGCCGAAGCCCAGTTCCTGTATTTTTCAGGTTTCAAACGCAACTCCAGCAGGAAACATAACTGAGATATTCTTGGGTATTTTAATTTTTTGTACAATTATCTGTAATTAATTTATTTATTTTTAATTATCTTTTTTGCTTTTTATTTAATTGTAATTGTTAAGTATTGCATTATTTTTATATTTCTGTTCGTCTTTCCCAACGGCTTTCCATAAGGATCCGGCAATTCTAAATTTAGAAATTAAATCCTGAGGGCAATGACACTAGAGGCAAATTTGCCCCTTGTTCTTCTGCGGCACGCGCTTCTCCAGAACTGCGTCATTGGTTGGTTCTACCGGTTTCATCCTCTCAGAGAAGACGTAGGCTTTCGCAATATCAAAATCACCATGGAAATACCGGGAAAATGGAGGATGAAATAGAATTCTTTCTTTTCCCCTGATTTCCAGTGCTGTGCTTGTGTTGCATTCCCCCCTTCCCTCTGCGGACCCGTTGCCAAGACAAATCAGCGCAGCGAGTGAGCTGGGGATGAAATGAGCAGGAGATTGCGACGACAGACCTTGGACAAAACCGGATCCATACCTTGTCGACTTCCATTGACTGAGGGTACTTTGAACGGTAGGTTATTACGTTTTCTTTTAAACAAATTTTAATCTTGCGGTATTTAATTTATTTACTACGCAGAAAGTATAAAATAGCACGATTATGTTGGCTTAGTGTTTATTTCTAAATGTTTTTTTTATATCCTCCCCCTCTCCATTTCCACAGCTTTTTGAACCCAAAATGTAAATTGGTGATGGGAAGAGGAGGGTTGGTTCGCTGTTTCTCTCGCAATTGCTAATTGAACGAGAAAATAGTCCACCTCTGGGTGTTATCATTTTTACTTTACGGCGAAAATTGTTTCCTTGTAAAATATCATGCCTCCAATGCATGAAGCATAGGATATTTAATTGATCTCTTAAATCACAATGGTACGTTAGCAGACTCTGATTTCCATTGGATAAATGGGCACTTCCCTATATAATGCAAAGAGTTTATTGCACAGATAGATGCATAACGAGGAAAAACTTGCAGACTTGGCCGAATTCAAGTGTTTCTTTTTATTTATAGTTGGTACACACTTTTCATCAATCCAGCACAAATGAAATGGGCACATCCGCGCCTTATTCTTATAACTTGTAAAATATAGCTTTGAAGACAAGCAGAAGCTACTGGTTGGCAGGTGCGAAGCAAGGGAGAAACTGATACACTCAGAAGAAAAAGTCGGAGAGAGGAAAAATGTTTCGGTTTCACTCGAAATCTTATTCAGGAGTACTGTAAAAACGATATCGTCAGTGTAGTGTACCTTAATGTCGTATGATTCGAATTAATTTTGACATTTAGTTTAAAGTAGGCTCAGTTCCGGCCCTAGTTCTGATGAAGAGCTCCCCGGGAGGACGGGTCCAAGGGTCTCCCACCCCTCATCTTTCCCTACCACAGCCTCTCGAGAGGACTTTCGGCAAGCCGCGTATTTAGAGTGCCCCCATGCCGCGCGGTCACTATACATTTACAAACATCCATGCCTTCTCCGGGATTCCAACCCGGGCCCTTCGGCACGGCAGTCAGCGACGCTAACCTCTATACCGGTTGATGGGTACCCAAATATTAAAATAAAATAAAAGGTTAAAATGAAATTAAAAAATGAAGAATAAAAGGGACTATTGCCAATTAAAATTAGTTTATTTTATATTTTTTTAAACAAGCCTCTTTTGATGAAAAATATGAAAGCAAACTTTTGATTTTAATTGGCAATAGTCCCTTTTATTCTTCAATTTAATTTGGGTACTTCTTTCTACCCTAAAAATAGTAACGGCTTATAACAAATCAATCTAAACTGCGTTATTTCATAATTAATCGGCATGAGGCATGATAAGATCTTGTATAACGCTGTAATGCAGAAACCTCTTATCCATTTCTGTTAAAACCAAAACTTTTTTTTTTTTTTTTTTAATTTTTTTTTTTTTTATGTCCTTCACTCATCTGAATGCGTTATACACTTTCCCACTTGCCTGCATCAAAGTAGGACTTCGCCGCTCGCTTCTATCATCCACTGTATGTCTTAAAATGTAAGCTTCTAAAAATTGTGGGTTGCATATTGCAGCCATAATGACGTGCTAGACTAGGGAAAGCCACCAATTATTTTGCAGTCATGAGTGGACTGAAGTTAGAAGATGACTGAAAATTTTTGATTGCAGTGCATTACATTTTTAATAATGAATAGAAGCAGCCAAACAAGAGAAGTCCTTCGGCTAGGAAGCATAGGCAGCAAAAGATAGAGAGCAATAGTTGCAGTAATAGTAATATTTATAATCTCGGAGCACTTTGTTTTAATCTTGCAGTGCGACTGGACAAAGGTTTTCGCATTGCGGTTACTGCAGGAAGACGCACACTGTAAAAAAAAGTTCACTCTTTACAGGCAAAAGTTATGTAAAGTTACAGAAATCAAAATGTTATACAAGAATTTCCTGTAATGGTAACAGGTTGAAAGCAAACTGTGGCGGGTACAGCTGATTTGCCTGTAGCATTACAGATAATGTTTCAGAAGCCGCGCGGAAGAATCACGTGACTGACTGGAAATTAGCCAATCAGGAGAAAAGTGTTTGAAAGCTAGTTGCAGAAAAAACATGGCTGAATGCATGTTGGTTGTATAGCGCAGGTAAGTAAGAAAATGTTTACAATTACTGTTTGAAATATTTTTTGTTCATTTTATGCAGATTATTCTCATGCACTTTGCACTGTTATATGTAGTGAGTAAGTATTTAAACGTTTAAGCTTTGTGATTAATTAATATCAGTTTTCGTAATGTCTAATGAGTTGAAAGAGTGCAAAATATTTATTCCAAATGCAGATCGAATAGTAGTATTTTGTCATTGTGCATCCGATAAATTACGCCTTAAATTGCCCGTATTATTATTTTATAACTAATTATTCCAAAATTTAATCACTTTGTGGTATTTAATTGAAACGGTAATGTGATTGTTGAAAACAAAATTAATCATGTTAGCGTTCGTTTGCAATCGTCTGACCAAAGAACGTTTGACATCTTTTTCCCGGCAGGCCTTGGGAGAAAAGTTTATGTAAACATTTAGAATTCTGAATGTAATGTATAGATTTTTTGCTTATTCTTTTTCTAGGATTACCTAATTAATTATACTTGGTTTATAATTCAGTCTAATATGTTTATGTACGAGTGTGTTATGAAGTAAAATTACAAAAACTTGAACAACGCGGTCGAGAATCTCGTTTATTCTTTAGTGTAATAATATTATTTTTTTCAATGGTATTAATTTCTTACGAAAATGTTATAATTCCAAAATGAAGTAATTATATTGATTAAAAATATGTCGCATCATACTTTTCGTAATGTTTTGTTTTACTAACTAGATGCAACTTAATTATTCCATATATTTTAATATACCAATATCAACAGGGAAAAGATGGAAATGACCTAAAATATTTTTCTAAAAATTCGTTAAACTAGTTATAAAAGAAAACTAAAATTTTGTACATTATTTCCAAAAATATCATTTCATTAATATTTTATAAATTACAAATTTATTATATTGTATATATAACTACCATTGCATACTTATAAGTTTTTAAACATTTAATGTAGAATTTATGTTGATTTTATTTTGCCCAATTTTAATACAGTTTTGAAGTATGATAGTCTTGTTACTAGGATAGCATGAATCTGCTAATACAAGTTTAATACATTTCTTGACAAATGTTTCTCTTATTCATGTAATATAATATATAAATCATAAAATAAGTTTTCTTAAAAATAAATTATGATTGTTTATTGGAATTTAAAACAATTCTGTATCTGTATGTTAGTATTAAAAATAAAATAATAATAAATTTTTAATGAAGCATTGATTTTAGCATTAACAATTGTAAATATATATATATATACACACATGAATAAATTTAAATGCAAGCTACTTTTCCTTACAAAGCCGTCCATGAATATATACTTCCCTTTAGGCTGATAGCCTTTGCATGCTTTGAATCCAAATGATGCAAATATGCAGAAAATTTTACTCTCTTTGAAAGTTAATGCAGGAAATAAAATTCAGTGCATTTGTAAACTACATTAGTTCTCTTATAGCTTGGCATTTAATTGCCCAATGATTTACTAGTCCAAACTAATGCAGAATTCAGATATCGTTCAAATAAAAGAAAATTAATAAGGTCTGATTTTTAGACGTATATATGAAGATTTATTTTTTTAAATATTATTTTAAGTCAACTAAATTAATATCAAATTTAAGTAAGTATTCATGCCTTTCAGTAGCATTATTTTTGGAAATCTTAAATTAAATAACTGAATGCAATATTTCTTGTTAATAAAAGAAAAGCAATGTTATGAAAGACTAGCGAAGTGGATTTGCAAGTTCTAATTACGAAAGGTCCCATGCTCTAAGGGGTCACTTTTAAAAATACTTAATTAAAAAAAAAGTATTTAATGTAAAACTTCCAACTTCACACATGTGGAATATTAATTCTATATATTTTATCTCATTTTATTGATTAATTTCATAGCATTTCGTGTGACACTAGTAGTAATTATTTATTAAATTTTATGCAGTTTCTGATCTATGTTTTGATTTTGTTATTAATTACGTTAGGTTACATAAGATTTAAAATTATGTAAGGTACAAAAACCTTCTGCATCTATTAATATATGCTGAAGTGAATGAAATTATGCCAGTGAAATTTTTTAAAATCAAAAACAAATTTCTGTGGAAAATTAAAGTTATAAATTCTAAATGCAAACAAAGGAGTGAATTTGAAAGTTATCAAATAAGCCAAAGTGTTGGTAATTTTTTGCAGTTTTGCAGAAGAATTTTTATACTTTGCAGAATGGGAATATGATGTTTGGTTTTGTTAGTATTAATTATTACAACTGAATTATTGCAACTTAACACATTGCTTACATTTACATTTAACGTAATTTAGCTTAAAATTTATTTGAACTTAATTTTCTAATTTATTTTTGATCATGTATATTTCATGTGTCATAAGTCTTTAAAATGAACTTAATTCTCATCCTATTTATTAACAAACAATTTTTTTAAAGAAGAAAAAGTCACATTTGTTTTGCTTAGTTGCACACGAAGATACATGCCTCTATATATATAGAGAGAAAGAGGAGTTATGTTTACTTGCAGACTTTTTTCCTCCTTTTTACTAATATTATAGTATGAAAATCAAGGGGAAATTAAGCAATCAATTTAATTTTGAAGGATGTGATTACACATAAGATCATAACCAATCAAAAATATTCATGAATGAACTACTGGTAACTATCATAGTATTATTATTTAAAAGAAACCTACATTCCAATAAATTAATAGTACTTATTCATTAACATTTCATAGTAAATTTAATTTATCATTCCTACTTCCTATACCTTGAATTTCACTCTTTTAATTTTCCTGCTACTTCCCTACCTTGAATTTCTTCTTATTATTTTTACTAGACCTCAAAGCATTTAATGCATCTGGAACTGCAATTTGTGTCGTCTTCTACAGCATGCAAGTTATCACCACGTTTCAGTTTGTACTACCACGAGC